TCGGCCATGAAGATTTCCCCGGGCCTGCTCGCGCCAAGACTGTGGGGGCGTCTCAAGTAGAATGGCCGCTTTGGGCCGTGAGCAAAAATCTCTCGTCAGATCCCCATGACCACGCGATGTGAAAAGCAGGTGGTGCACTCATTCGCCCAGCTTGCGGGGACGCCTCGAGTGAAATGGCCGTTCGCGGCTCTGGATGCGTCTCGTTTCAGAGCCCCCTGACCACCGCGACGGAGCAAGCACGGTACTTGGTCCTCCCGATGGGGCGACGACTACATAGAGCTGCTCCACGGGCCCGATCGCGCCCAGACTGTCGAGACGTCTCAAGTGGAATGGCCGTTTGCGGCTGTGACCCCCGTCTCCTTTCGGAGCCCCATCCCTACGGCGATGCAGCAGGCATGGCGCTTGTGCCTCCTCCTCCGAGGGCGCTTTCGCGCCCAGATGGTGGGGGCGTCTCGGGTGGAACTGCCGTTCGTGGCCGTGGACGCGTCTCCTGCTAGAGCCCCACGATCCCTGCGATGCAGCAGGCATAGCACCTGGGCGCTGCCCAAGGGGAGGGAGAGGAGGAGGAGGAGGAGGAGGAGGAGGAGGAGGAGGAGGAGAAGGAGGAGGAGGACGAGGAGGAGGAGGAGGAGGAGGAGGAGTAGGAGGTGGAGGAGGACGAGGAGGAGGAGGAGGATGAGGAGGAGGAGACGAAGGCGCTGACGCGCGCCCCCACGCGGGCAGCGCACGCGCATGGCCAGGGGTGCTCCACGCGCCTGTTTTGCGCCGAGGTGGCGAGGACGTCTCGGGTGGGCTGGCCGTTTTCGGAGGCGGGCGTGCTGCTGCTTCGGCTGAGGAAAAGATGCAGAGCACAGCAATGAGCGGAGCAGCGGGCGGCAGCGAAGGGCAGCAGAGCACACCGCGCACACCCGGACTAGCTCTCACCCAGTCGACCTCGGGCTAATCATCGCTCGCAGTCAGACGCTCACAGCGGGAAGTGCAAGGACTTGAGACGCGCAGCTGGGGAACTCCGCATCGAACACTGATTATGGACATCCATCCGCCTCACTCCTCCCGTCGCCTCCATTGCAACCCAGTCACTCACACTCAGACCCACTCGGACTCAGACTAACTCATACTCAGACTTACTCACACCCAAATTCCCTCATAATTGGAACCAAAATTATCCAAACTCATGCATACTCGGACCCGCTTTTATGCATATCCACCCGCAATCAGGCTCACTCATACCCAGACTCAATTACATTCAGACTCACTCAGACTCAAACTTACTCACCCAAATTCAGTCATGTTCGGAACTGTCAGACCCATTGACACTCATTTTCAGTCATACTCAGACCCGTCCACTGTCATATCCACTCATGCCCATAGCATCTGAGCCACCGAAGGGGAAGCCAGCCAGCGGTGTTCCATGGGCCTGCTCGCGCCTAATAAGGAGGATGGCGTTTGGCCCACCCTTTAGCGTGTTCGGTGGGATGTCGAGGGAGGCATCGCAGGGGCCTCTTGGGTGCCGTTGTTGGGCCTCTTGGGGGCCGTTTTGGTGCCTTCAGGGGCGTCGTGGGGGCTTCTTGGGGCCTCGTGGGCCTCTCGGTGCCTTCTTGGGGCCTCTTGGGGCGGAAAACTTGAGAATTTTCAGTTCATGCTCCCCCTGTTGAGCCCTTCTTGGGGCTGTCTTTGGGCCCGCTTGGGCCGTATTGGGCGCCCCTGGGGCCGTTTTGGAGCCCAGTTGGACCGTCCTAAGGCTCTCCTTGAGCCTTTTGGCCCGTCTTGGGGCGGGCTTGGAGGCCTCTTGGGTCGTCTTTGATTGTCGGAAACACGAAACGTGGAGGAACCCAAAAACATTGAAAAACCCACAGGGATCTCGGGGCACTCGTCTGGGGCCTCGGGCGTTCACTGAAGCATCCCTGGGGCAGTCCTGGCGCAGCCTGGAAACCTTCGTAGGCCGTTCACAAAGCATCTTCGGCGCTCTCGGGGTGTGATTGGCCGGAGCAGTAGACTGTCGTGCAAATGTTTGGTCTATCTGTGCGCCCACGGGGCAACTTTGGAAGCCACGAATGCGCTCGTGGAGCCCCTGGGTCGGCCATGCCGCGCTGTGGCCCTGGTCCTGGGCCCACCCGCGACCTACTCATACATATATATATATATATATGTATGTATATACATATATATATATATACATATGTAGATATATGCCAATTCTTTATGTACACATATACACATATTTGTATATATATATATACATATATACACATTTCCAGGCATATACGTATTTATGCATCATTATGCATCTCTTCTATATATCTATGTACATGCATGCATCATGATGTATGTATATAAACAGATAGATAGATAGATAGATAGATAGATAGATAGATAGATACACGCCCCGTTGACCACTGCCCAATACTCTGCTGGCCCCCTTCCTCGCGCAAGAAACTCAACACAATACGAGACACCGAACGACCACAAGCAGCAAACCATTAAGAAACTTCATTGCAAACATCGAACGAGTAAGAAATCCCACAGCAATTTATCAAACCTTACATCCAAACATCCAAGCAAAAATAAGCAGCACATGATAACATCACACCAACAAGAAACGATACATCTCACAGCAAAACTTCAAAGCCATCATAAACCGCACAGCTATGGTCGACCCTGCAAGAAACACCATCAGCGCAACATCCAAACTGTCAGAGCTACACGAATCCGCACGCATCACCTTGTAACCCTACAAAGAGCCTCATAGCAAACATCAAGCGCACACAACACCTTAACATATATCGCAAATCTGCAGTAAGCATGAACGACGAGCGCGGAGGAAGAGAAGGGGGATGGTGGGGCCACCGCGGCGACGACACGAGGAAACGTGGAAACGAGTGGGCAAATATGCCGACGACGACTTGGGCTATGGAGACGACGACAAAGACAATGAAAAAGGCTGCGTGGCCACGAACGCGTCAGACCCGTCGCGAGCGGGTGCAGCATGGTGCGTCGGCTGGCCAAGAGGAGGAACGACGCTGGCTGAGCACCGGGTGACCAACAAGCGTCGGTAGTCACCAACCTGCTCCTCCTCCTCCTCCTCCTCCTCCTCCTCCTCCTCCTCCTCCCCTGTTCTGTTCCGCAGCTAAATGAACATCAGCTTCAATTGTCAATGCACATACAACAAGTTAAAAGGGCGTGGACCTCCTGCGAAGCCTCAATTGGGGCAATGGCGTCCGCTTCGAAAACTGAACACGGCGTGTCTATAACAGTCCCCGCTGCCATTAATTGGTCATACGTTCAGGCTCCCACATGCTCCAACTTGGATGCCCCACTGGCTGATGATCCTCCTCCTCCGCCGCCACGAACTTCGAAATTGAGGATGTCCTGACGACGAGCGGTCAGACACGCGCACAACGGCCGAGTTTGTCGTGACGGGTTGTCTGCTAAGCACAGGTTTGTTTTCGTTTCGCTGGGAACAGTGCCGAGCCAATTGCAGTTCACATCGCAGAGGCAACGATAACCTTTAACAGGGTAAGCCAAGCAAGCCATCACTAAAAAGGCATAGCCGCGTCCAAACACCCCTCCCCGCCGCCCACCTCCCTTACTGTCTCAAACAGTCTTGCTCCCTGCTGATCCAAGAAACTTTGCGAACGCTCCGGCGAAGAACATGTTGACACTTCCACTCCTGCACCTGAGATGCCAAGCGAGATCGGCAACACTCCGTTTATCGAGCTACGTGGTCCGCGCACCTAGACGCACGTCGGGCGGCAACCAAATTCAGATCTAGGGTGCTCGAAACTCCTTTTGATGCAGCGCAGCTCCGAGGACTGATGCCTGGGCATCAACTGCCGAAACAAAACACTCCGTTTATCGAGCTACGTGGCCCGCGCACCTAGACGCACGTCGGGCGGCAACCAAACCCAGATCTAGGATGCTCGAAAATCCGTTTGATGCAGCGGAGCTCCGAGAACTGATGCCTGGGCATCAACTGCCGAAACAATCCAACGCCACGGCATTGAAATCCGATTACGCGAAAAATGAAGACACGCGGAACAGCACCTGGTGCAAATCAGTTGAGATGTTTTCCAGCTTGCGCAGCTTCAGAGGACTGGGGCATTCGCCTGATGACAGCCGTTGCATTTTTTGATTCTTGGAAAGCAGCACAAGTCCACATGTGGACTGATACAAGGAATCTGGCTGGATTGGAACATCTAAACAAACATGTTCCCTCCTGGCGGGCAGAAAATTCAACCCTGACCGCAGCCAGAGGAGGTGAGACCAGAGAAAGGAAGAAACGGCTTGAGCCAAGCAACGGTCCTACTCCTCCTGCCCCAAACATCCGAGGGTGTGATTGGCTGCTATCGCGAGAGAATAGAACTTGCCCTTGGGGCCCGAAAACGGCCCCTGGATGCCGAAATCGGGAGCAGACTGCCGCGCCGTTACAACAACAGAAATGCTCTTCGGACGCATGGGCCTGCGACCGCAGAGCATTGACCCCCTCGATGCTCTCGGCGTCGAGGCGGCCCCGAGCGCCACCAGGAAGCGACAGCGGCGGTCCAGCGGCGCAGCGGAGCGGCGCTCGAGGATCCTCGGAACATTTGTTGCCGCCACGGCGCGGCAGAGGCAATCCTCTTGCGCGCTCGAGTTGCCGGGGGCGCTCGGCAAACCAACTGGCCGGCTGCAAAGAGGAATATAGGGCGGGGGGAGCGGACGCCCGATGATCCTCAGAACATACGTTAGCGCCAACGTGTGCTCGTCCACCGAGGCCCCTCAATACACGCAGGCGGCGCAACGAGGGCTGACAAAGGCTGCGCGCTATCGGCGGAACCGAACGGGACAAATATACTCCTGGGCTTACATACTTCTTGAGGACGATCGAGGCGCGCGGAAGCCAGGAGCAGACAGCATCGAATCGGGAAGTCGATTCGGATCGGAAAGTGCGTTGGATCGGCCTGTAGCGGTACTCATATTGCATCCTCGGGGGACCTTGTCTGTCCCGTCGCGGCCTGCTCCACGTCGCGTCGAATCCATGTCGGACTCGTCGGATCCGTGTCGGATCCGTGTCGAATCCGTGTCGGAATGCGAATGCGAATGCGAATCCGTGTCGAATCCGTGTCGGATCAGCGTCGAATCCACGCCAGATTCGTGTCGAGTCCGCATCGAGCCCGCGGCGGGCACAAGAAAAGACACCCATTTTGGGGACAGGTGAGGCCCCCCGAAGATGCAGCGGAGTCGAGATCGAGTCGGATCGGCCGCGCCAGGACGCACGGCCTCGCCATGCAAGCGTCGAGCCGCATTGGATCGACGGAAAATCGGAACGCAAGCGGATCGACCCCAAACTCCAGCGTCGTGTTTTTTTCACATCAGAGGTCTGGACCCCTGCCACCTGGAACAGTTCCTCATCCCTGGCCGTTGTTTGTCCGTCCCAAGGTCTGGCCAGTGCCCCCGGGTGGCCGAGATGTTGCCACGACGAGAGGGGGTGCGGGCAGCCGAGATCGACATTGAATCGGATCGATCGGAACGAAGTTGGGAGCGACGGGGGTCTTCTGCGCTGGATGGGCCCCGAGCAAAAATCGGTCACGAGGGTGGGGTGAGGCCAAATCCGCTCAAGGATCGGCCCAGGGACCCCTCACAGGAGGAGGAGGAGGAGGAGAAGGAGGAGGAGGAGGGAGAAGGAGGAGAGCGAGCCGCGTCCAGCCGTGGCGACGTGAAGGCCACCAGGAGGTCTCGAAAAGAAAAAACAGGCCCCCTGCTCCCCGTTCCGCTGGAAGGCGTTTTCTTGTTCTGGGTCTTTACATTTGGCCAACAGGGTGGGGGAGGGGGGGGTTCTGGGTCTGGACCCGTGCTCAGCCGATCTGCTTTTACCGGCCGCGCTGGCACACTTGGGGGAAGGGGCCCTGACCAGTCGCCAAAAGCAGCGAAGGTCTTGATGGGCCTGTTTTCCACCACCACCACCACCATAAGTTGGAGGGGAGGGAGGAGGAGGAGGAGGAGGAGGAGGAGGAGGAGGAGGAGGAGGAGGAGGAGGAGGAGGAGGAAGAGGAGGACGGGGAGGAGGAGGAGGAGGAGGAGGAGGAGGAGGAGGAGGAGGCGGAGGACGAGGAGAATGTGGAGGAGGAGGAGGAGGAGGAGGAGGAGGAGGAGGAGGACCCCCTCCCCTCCCACTTATGGTGGTGGTGGTTGTGGAAAACTGGCCCATCAGATCTGATCTTCGAGGGCAGAGAAATGGCGAGGAGTGTTGTTTTGTTCGGTGCGCGAGCCATGCTGCACGTAGCCCTGGTCGCGCATGCGCGGCCCGCAACTGTTATCGACAAGGGCCCCAGCGTGGCTCGGCGGAACGCGGTTGTGCCCGAAACGGCCAGCCCTGGAGGGAGGCGAAGGAGTGATCGTTTTCTTGTGCATCGTTTGGCCGATCGGCGAACAAACATACAAAAAATGGCCCAATGCGACTCCAACCTGCAGGCGATGGCGGCGGAGGGCCCGCCCGCCTCCGGCCCGCACGGGGCTCCAGGCCGCTGGCGGGTGCGCCGCGGCGTGGGTCAGCAGGGCCTGTTTCAGGGAGCCGCGGTTATCGTCGTCCTCCTCCTCCTCCTCCTCCTCGTCCTCCTCGTCGTCCTCGTCGTCCTCGTCGTCGTCCTTGTCGCCGCCGTGGTCGTTGTCGTCGTTGTCGACGTCGTCTTCGTCGTCGCCGTCGTCGTCATCATCGGCGTCGTCTTCATCGTCCTCGCCCTCGTTCTCGTCCTTGTCGTCGTCGTCGTCGTCTTCGTCGTCGTCACCATCATCACCATGATCATCATATCATCACCATCACCATCACAATCACCATCACCATCACCACCACCACCACCACAACCACAACCACCATCATCATCATCATCATCATCATCATCATCATCATCATCATCATCATCATCATCATCATCATCATCATCATCACCGGCGTCATCATCATCACCATCACCATGGCCATCACCATCATCATTACCATCATCGCAATCGGCATCGCCATCACCATTGCCATCATCACCGTCATCGGCCTCATCACCACAATATCACCATCATATCATCATCCACATCATCACCAGCTCATCATCATCATCATCATCATCATCATCATCATCATCATCATCATCATCACCATGATCATCAGCATCATCATCACCAGCAGCATCATCAGCATCATCAACAGCATCGTCACCACCACAACCATCATCGTCGTCATCATTCTTATTACTATCATCATCATCATCATCATCAGCATCATCATCATCATCATCACCATCACCATGACCATCATCATCATCATCATCATCATCATCATCATCATCATCATCATGATCGGCACCATCATCACCAGCATCCTCAGCTTACTAACCATCATCAGCACCACCAGCATCACCTGCATCATCACCATCACCATCGGCAGCGCCATCATCATCATCATCATCATCATCATCATCATCATCATCATCATCATCATCATCATCATCATCATCATCATCATCATCATCATCAACAGCATCATCATCATCATCATCATCATCCCTGCATATCCTCCCTCCCCTCCTTGGCCTTTTGCGCGGAAACGGGGCATCGTCATTTCGCCCTGGTTGCCAGCCGCTGCAACGAAAAAGAAGGCGGGAGAGAGCGCATACCTTGGCCTACACCGTCCTCCCTCCGCCTCTTCTTCCTCCTCCTCCTCCTCTACCTCCTCCTCCTCCTCCTCCACCGCCTCCTCCTCCTCCTCGTCTGCCCCTTCCTCCTCCTCCCACTCCTCCTCCTCCTCCTCCTTTTCCTCCTCCTCCTTTTCCTCCTCCTCTTCTGTTCCTCCTCCTCCTCCAACTCCTCCTCCTCCTCCTCTCCCTCCTCCTCTCCCTCCCCTTCCTCCTCCTCCTCCTCTGTCTCCTCTGTCTCCTCTGTCTCCTCTGTCTCCTCCTCCTCCTCCTCCTCCCCTTCTTCCTCTTCCTATTCCTCCCCCTCTTTCTCCTCCACCCCATCCTCCTCCTCCTCTTCCTCCTCCTCCTCCTCATCCTTCTCCTTTTCCTCCTCCTCCGCGTTTTCCTCCTCTTCTCCTCCATCTCCTCCTCCTCTTCCTCCTCCTCCTCCTCGTTCTCGCGTCTGCCAAATCACGAGATCGCCCAGTCAGCAGTCCCGCAAATCTACCACGCAAGGGCCTCCACGGCCTCGCAAGCCCCCGGAAGCCTCCAAGGGTCTCCCAAAGCGCTCCAAAGGCCTCTGGAGAGGGCCCCGAGGTTCCCAAGGGCCTCGCAGGATCCCTAAGGACCTCCGATGCTCTTCCAAGGCCTCTGCAGGCTTCGACAAACATTCCCAGGGCCTCCGAAGGTCTCCCAGGAGCCCCCCAAGGCCTCCGAGCTCCGAGGGTCTCCCCGCCCCGTCTCCACCCCTTCTCCGCCCCTTCTCCACGCCTCCCGCGGCCCCTAGCCCACCTCTACGCGCGCTGGCCAGCCCTCGAAGCCCAAGCCCAACAATTCCTGAGATCGAAGGCGTACTGCATCTGAAAAACGAGCTTCGACTCTCAAAAACAGCGTCGGCGTGCAGAAGCACGAGTGGCAAGGCGTTTATCCTTGAAGAGTCCCTTCCCAGACGCGGAACGTTCATTCGTGCAGGGCTAATCAGTCCCAAGATCAAGCAAGGCCCTGATGACAGAGATGGGCCCCAATGAGGGCCCAAACCGCCAAGTGGCAGATCAGACTAGCGCGAGAAGGATGCTGGACGATGGAGTGGCACAGTGGGAGGTGCCGATGAAGCAGGAAGGGTGGAGGGACAGACGACGTTAGCCATGCGCATACTCATGCGTGTATTATGTCTTGCAATGTAATGCAGGAGACGAGACGTGGCGTTGTATGTTACATGACTGCGTTTGTAATGCTTGCGATGCTGGGACGTGGGCGACGTTCGTGACGACGACGATTTGGCTTGCAGTGTTGCAGCCACCCTATCCATCCACAATCTTTCTGGCGGCCACAAGTTGGGCATCTGAAAGAAAGAACCACTTGTGATGCTCGCGGTCGTGAGCGTGACGACCGTCCTTCGCCCGCGAAAAAAGGAATGCGCAGCAATCTTTCTCTCGCCCATGCATATGAAGAAACGTGTATCTTACGCAGAGCCGATGCGCATGGTATTCAACAGTCGGGCCTTTGATGTAGGCTCGCTGTTCACCGCTCTGGTGCGAACAACCGTCGAACAATATCTTGAAAAGTCCATTGCCGAAAGTCCGATGCCGGGGGCGGATGGATGGCATGATCGGCGCGTGGACGATTGCTTCGGCATCGTCGTGAGGAGCCAGGGCCAAAGGCACTGCGCCTCCACCTCCAATTGCAGGCATCGGCTCTATCATAATGCCCTGGCTTTTTTAAAAAGCAACATCCTTGTTCGTGACGCGGGGAAAACTCGGGTCGTTGAGAATCGTTCGCAGTTTTTTCTCGGAAAGCTGGATCAAGCATTCATAATTCGCATACGGCTTATTGTGAAAAATCGTCGCCACGTGCTTGTCCTCGAATATGGATTTAGACTTGAGCAGTGCGAGCCAATAACACTTGCTCCGGAACAAATTCTCATAACAGTCTATGATGTCTGCTGCCGCTATCGGTTCAGGGCGTCTCTCTGGCGCCCAGCCCATGTCCAAGAATGCAACGCGCAACGAGACTTTCGAGATATCGCGAAACACGCAAGCATCCTTCACGCGTCTGGCAAACTGCACGGGACCAAATGCAACCCGATGCGATTCCCAGCGAACCTTCCTCCAGTCAATGTCCATGACTTCGTCGCCAAACTCGCTCTCCTGTTTCACAAGAATACCGCAGCGCAGAAGGGCGTCCACACTGTGCTTGCTGATCACATCCAGACTTGGATTTCCAAACGTAGGTATGCCGTCCACATAAGTCTGTTCCATGACCGCCAACTGGGAGAGGCTCACGATGTGGGTCACCATTGACACATGAGGGACAAGGTCCAGCACTGGCTCGCCCTCGTCATGTGGCTCTTCCCCACCCTCAACTGGAACATCCTGTAAGGCTGGACAAACTTCGCGCGCTGGTTGGAGGCTGGTCGGCACGTGGGCTAATCGCCATAGGAACACCCTCGAACACATATGCCGGAACCTCTGCTGAGTAGTCCACTTGCCTAAGTCAAGCAAAAGAATACCGTTCTCGCCCTGTTCGATGTTGACCCGACCGTTCTCGATGACGCCAATGGGCTTCAGCTCCCGAACGCTGATGCACGTCGACGGGATGCGTTCCCTCACCGCAGCGTTGGCCAAGGTTCGGCCACCAGGGTTAAGATGCACCACTTCGTATAGTTTCACGTCGTCGCCCAATGCATCCAACGCTGCGGCTGGAGGCTCTTGCAGTATATCCCATATGGCATCCACTGTGCTCGCGGGGTCGTCGTCCTCAGCAACCCCGCGCAGCGGCGCAGACAGTGCGCACCCGCGCCGAAGCAAGGATCTGGAGTGGTCCATCAAGCACGACTGCGCCTCCGTCAAGCGCCAATGGCTTTGCTGGCTCGATGTCCGCAAGCGCTTGCTTCCACCCCGCCATGCATGCTTCGATATCCGTATCTTTGTGGAGACACGCAGCTTCGTGCATATCTCGCACCGCTCGCTCACCGACCAGCACCGCAAGCGAACTGGGCTCACCCGATGAGACAGAAGCTGTGACCACACTGATCGTCCATGCCACTATTGCTCCAACGTGTGCCAGAAAACTTCGTGACGCATTGCGTCTTGGAGTTGGCAGTGTCTGAGATTCACGGAGACGCTCGGTGGTAACTTCCTATTCGCGAAAGATTGCTCGCCGTCAGACCCAATGACCGAGTGTTGACCCTCAAGACGATAGCACTGGCCACAGCTAGCTCTGGCAACAGTGGCCACCATTCGTGCACAGGCCGGTTATATGCGCGGAGGTACTCTTCTGTCGCCGCGCGCAGATCTCCTGGCGCCAAGAACATTGACAGGCATGCAGGGCATACAGATTTGTTCGGAAGATCGTCGCACCAATGAACTGCCTCTCTGCAACTCGCTTTCGGATCTGCAATCGCCCCACCAAAGTAGCTGCACGCAACCTTCAACAATTTGATGGGGCACTCGCCTGCGCGCGCGAACTTCGCAGCCAACTCGTCCGGGATGTCGCTGCCCTGGAGGTATGCGACTCGAGAAAGTTCGTCGCGCGCGTTCAGCATGCGAGCCAACTCTTCCGACGTCGCCTCCACAAGCATGCGCCGAGACTTCTCCGCATGACCCATGGCAAGCTCCACGGCGCGGCGCCCTTTCCATGGGCACCGAGAGGAGCCCTCGTGCTTACTGGAACGGGTATCAGATATGTATTCAACGTTGGGTCGATGCAATCTGCCGTGGCAACGGCGCCCCACTAGCCAACGCCTCTCGATGTAGATGCACCGCACTTTCACCCAGAGTAGCTCGATCAAGATCGGCTGGCCGGGCATGGCAAGCGCTGCAGTGACGCGGCGCAAGATGCCTTTGGATTCCTCGTCATCGTCGCGATCACGCCCCTGCTTCGACATGGCGCCTGGGTCCCAAGCTTCGATCAGCATTTTGATTCGTGGGCGCAACTGAAACATGAAAATATATAGCTTCTCCCACCTTTAAGAACAGTTTGCACCCGTCCACATGAGAAACATAACAACTTTTGCGATGCGGTCCTGGAGGCACTTGCTAACGAACCGCTTTCGAAGACCACGCTTTCCCATGAACGTTCCAAGCCCACGGAAGCCAGCTTCGAGGTCCTTCCGTTGCGGCATGGCGAGGCAACCTTTTTTGAGCGCGCCGAACAGCATATGCGGATCTCCAGGCGCAGCCCAAGGTGTCGGCCACAGCTTCCCATGCTCCGCATCAATGTCATGCAACTGCAGGTCTCCCGACGCGAACCGTTAGATGATCTGCGATGCCTGGCCCGCGGCAAAGATATTTGGGCAATGCCATAACTGTCGTTCAGCGCCTTGGTCAGCGTAGCCTTGCTTCATTTTCAAGCGGTACTGCTCCTGGTGAGCACCCCCCCGTCTCCAAGAATATTGAATGTGCCAGGCGTGAATGTTTTTGTTGCTGCTATGCTCGCTTCGCCCCGTCCAAGAGTAGTCAACGGCTTGGCGCGCGTCTCAACAGAGAACACTGAGAGGATCAGGTTCCCAGTCCGGGCACCTTGTCACTGAGGGCGCCTCTTCCAGAATAACGAAAAAATCCTCGCCGATCTGCGGGGAAGCATACGCGCCCAACTGGGAAAAACACTCGCGATAGCAACCGCGCTGCCACTGCGCCCGACGAAAGAGTACCAGCATCCGATCCATCTTGAAACGCCAACTGTCTAGAGGAGCGCGATGTGGCGCATACCATCTCCAACTATCTGGTCGACGCCAGCGTACTTGAAAGCATTTTGCAACGCAGCTTTGACATCGCTCTGGTTTGTTATCTCGTGAAATATCATTACTGCGGCAACGATCTGGCCCAGAGTGTACTTCGCATCGGTCACGTCGTCGTCGTCGTCGTCGGCCAAATCTTGGTCGCCGTCGCCGCGGTATCCGTCCAGCGAGTCGCCCGGGTCGCCCTGCTGCGGGAGAACTGGGGCGGGCAGTGGGCCCATGGCGACGAGATTGGCCATGCCGGCCTCGCATGCGGCCAGACGGTGCTTCGCGAACCACGTGCGACTCTGAGAGGAGAACTGTTGATATTGAAATCTGGGTAGCATTATGCAAACTCTGGCACCTCGAAGGCAACGGCGATTCATCTCGCCGTCTTTGAAGTGGCGAACGTAACCAGCCCCTTTCTTCAAGGCACCGCGGGGCAGATCGACAGCTGGAATATGATGCACGTCATCGAGATGCCACTCAATACAGTCAGATGGTGGCCACAGAAAGTCATGCATCCATTCATCTGAATCCCGCAACGGGGAGATGCTCGTCACGCGGCCCACTGCTGCAATGCGTCGTTCTGCCCGCCTCCTGTCTCCGAGAGTGGCCTCAAAATATATAGCAACAAATGCAAATCGCTGAAAGTAGCACCGCTGCCTCTTCGTTGGTCTGGAGGAGGCCCCCGATGGGGGCCGATGAGGCCTGCGCGACAACTGCAGCCCTCATTGCTGCCCAAATGCTTGGGCCCACCTGGAAACGGTGACGACGACGACTGGTGCGATGCGATGCTTGCGTTGGTTGCTCGGTCAGGGCCCCAGGGCCCTGTGTCGGACGCAATGACCAAGTCCCCCTCGAACTCCTATTATCGGGTCATACATGATGCCTCAATGCTACAGCGGGTCCACCAGGGGTCCCCGCGGGGCCCAGAGGCGGTTGGGATGCTCGGATGCCTTGTTCCTGCCCCGACGTTTCTCTCCCGACCACTGGTTTACCTGACCACGTGAAGGAACGGGATATTATGAGGGGGGGGCCTACAGACTGCGCGTCGACGATGTTTCTGAGCGCATGAGTGCGAGTGAGTCTCAATTCGAGCGGGTGTTTGCGTGAGTCAGAGTGCGAGTGGGTCTGAACGAATGAGTCCCTCACCCCGACCTCTTCAGAAAACGCAACGCTTTGGAGAGGACGCGCAATGACCTTACCTTGCACTACACGAGTGAGGCATGCGCAATCGACAGCGCGCGTAGAAAGCATGCACCTATGGGCACGGATCAAAGTTCCAAACAAAGATTGGAATGTCTACACACTTGTTTCAAAGACCTCATTTTTCTGGATTTCTGTGGCGACGACTGGGAGTAAGCAAAATCATAGGTTTTGGGTTCACGGTAGGCACGGGTCCAGAATTGGAGTTTGTCCCGGGGGGGGGTACAACGCAGCGCGCGCGCCCCAATAGGCAACAGTCAACCATGGCGCTGCAGGACGCAACGAATATAAGTCAACAGATAGGGACACGATGCCGCGGGTGCCCTCGATGACGCGACCGACGCGAGCGGAGGCGGCAGTGCGATGCCAGCGATGGCCGCGCGCTGCCCAGACGCGGCACTGAAGATGATGGCTCGGCGGAAGTGCGCGGCTGCGCGCCGAGCGCTTTGAACGGGGGACGCGGCGCCGCGAAGAGCCAGATTGCACGCGGGCGCGCCGCGGCGCGCAATCTAACCACGAGAGGCGCGCCACTGACAACGCGTTCCAAGCGTCCGCGCGCCAGGCGGCGAGATCGAGCCAGCGGCGCCCGCGCGTGCCGCGCCGGGCCGCGGCAAGAGCTCGCCGCCCCCTGCGAGACGCGGCGCCGGCGGACAGGCGGCAGCGCGGTGACGACGCGCCGGGAAGGCGCGTCGGCGAGGTCGTCATCCGTCGGCACGCGAAACGCGGCGAGGCCAACGTCGAGTTCGACGGCGCGCATCCACGCGGAGCGAACGATGCGCAACTGATCAAACGGCTTCGCGGCGCCCTCGCGGAGGAAGGACTCAGCGCCGGTGTTTTCGCTGTAGACGCGCAAATCGCACTCCTGCGTTTCCCCTGGACAAGTAAGACAGGGGCGGGCAGAACAAGGGGGGGCGGGCGAGAGCGCGCGGCGGCCGCGCCTGCAAAGGTGCACAAGCTCCAGCCACTGCGCCCGGTTGCCCCGGCGTCGCACTAACGCCGCCGACAAGGGATCCAGCGCCCGCGTGGAAGTGACCTGGATGCCCGAGGCCGTGAGAAGCGCCGCGGCCACGCGCGGTGGCTCGCCCGCGTGGTCGCGCGCGGCCGCTCCCCGACGACCCGCTTCCGCGCCTGGCGCAAGCCTGGAGGCGGGGCCTCGCGCCGCCGCTGCAGGGCCAGCAACGAGGGCCCATGTGCCTGCGAGATCATTCGACGCGATTGCGCGCGCAACGGCATGCGAACACAAGGCGCGGGGCGCCGGCCTCCCCGGCCACGCGGGCGCGGCGCTGCGCCCGAGCAGAACGCACCCCAGGCGGCGAGAGAAATGCGACGCCGCCCATGCTGGGCCCCCGGCACGCGACCCGCCGGCGCGAGGGACCTCGGCAACGACCGCGGCCGACGACCCGCCGCCACTTGGCGGTCTCGGCAGGGGCAGGGCGCGCCCAGACAGCGCGCGCGCGGCAACGCCTGGCGACGCGAAGAACAACCCGGCCGCCGCGCGGCGCCCCCGACGCCCCGCCAAGATTTCCACGCCGAAAATGCACAACGGGGGCCCCTAAGCGAGCTTGTCGGGCGCCGCCGCGCCCAGACCGAGCATCGCTGTCGTCCACGAATCGCAGCGCGATGATCCGCAAGAGCACGCGCGCCGCGCCGGCGATGAAGGCGCCCGCGCGCGCCCAACTATGCACTGGCGACGCGGCCCCGAAGGGGGAATCCGCGCGCTGCGCCGCCCAGACGACCCCGGCAGCTTCAAAAACGACCCGAGCAAATCTGCGGTGCTCTGACCAACTGGGAACGCCGCGGGCGGCAACGTCGACGTCTGCCCTCCATGCGCGGCAAGGCCCCGCCCCGCGCTTTCCGGAAAGACTCGCGCTGCGTCGACTATAGCGCGCCCGCGGCGTCGCGGAGGAGCCGCTCCTGGACAGGCGAGAGGCGGACGCGCGCCCCGCCGAGGACCCCCGACGCCGGCAAGGGAGAGGGAGAAGGAAGGACGCGGCTCCTGGGGGCCGCGTCGCCTCGTTCTTCCGCGCCTTGGTCATGTCGTCGAAATACCGGAACGAGAACGGCCCCATCCAAAATCGCTTCGCAAAGCGGCACCCGGCAACTCATGCGCCCCACCGCGGACTCGTCCCGAGTGTTCAGGAGGGTCGCATCGCCGTGCGCGCCGGCGCGAAAACCGACGAAGTGCTCGCGATTCGCTTAGTCGGCTTGGCCCAACAACTCCGCGATGCTCAGCCGAGGGGGGAACACCTCCTGGGTGGGTGGCGTGGCCCGTCCTCGGAGACTTGCCGAAACTGGGCGCCCCTCGTCTTGAAGAACCCCACGCAGCCAGGATCACACAAGGCGATGCGCTCCGCGATCTCTGCGAACAGAACGGCCCTTTGACACGTTGCGCGAAGCGCCGCGTGGTAGGGTCCACCCCCCCGAGCCAATCGCCCACACTGCTGAGAACCTTGAGTTGCGCTTCCACCGCCAGCCGAATTACAGTTGCGATCGATGTAGGCCGTCATACGGTTCGTCGTATGAGGCCTCATCACGATTGTCGGCTGATAACCGGTATGTGGTCAGAAGGTCTGCAGCATCTTCATACCAACCCAACCAACGTGTTGCATATTCTCGATATTTTCTTAATTCGACGGGTCCATTTGAGAAAAACCTTGTTCATGCTGTGTCCGTTCATGTTGAGCGCTCGTATGGCGGCGATTCTTCCTACAACTTACAGGCGCGGCTGTCGTTCCACAATCCAGTTCGCCTACCGCCGAGGTGCAAAAACTTGCTTGCGCCAAACGCCCGCAGCGGCGGGCGGATGGGTGATTGCATGACGCAGGCAGGATTGAACGTTATCGACGGCTGCCCCTCTTGGCAGGCGGAGGCACCACAGGGTTTCCCCCCCGACGTCCGCTCCTCGTCTGGGCCCATTTGGCCGCCGAGCAGGCCGCCGCACGGACCCTATTCCGACAGACGGCGTGGTGCGAAAATGGCCCGCGCGGCAGCGGAATGGGCTCGATCCCGCGTCCGTTCGGCGGGCGCACGGCGAGTCCTTCGTCGTCGCACTCATCATCATCGTCGTCCTCGTCATCGTCGTCGCAGTCGCCGCCGCCGCCGCCGCCGTGGGCCCCCTCCGCGGAGGGAGCGCCTGGAGAAGGAGAGGTCGTGCGCCGAGGACGCACGCTGCGCTCTGGACAGGGGCTTCGTGACGCGGACGCCGAACAGGCTCAGAGTTGGAGGCTCGAAAATGATCACCAGCACCAAAACAAGAGGTTGCCTCCAATGGGGCAAGATGGTCCTAGGTTTTGGTGTTGGTGGGCATCTTTCGGTCACCCAGGAAGCTCGAATGTTACCACCATCACCGAGATCGGGATCATCTTCCATCGGTGGAGGCGCGGCGCCGATATTGGTGTTGGTGCTAACGTCTAGACCTGCGACAGAAATCAACCCCGGGGAATGGCGCCTGCTTCAGGGAGCTGTAGTGCATGTCCGGCTCACAAACCCGCGGGGCATCGCCCGCAACCTCCGCGGGCCTCCCGGAACCTCTGCGCGACGGCCGCCCACCTTGCCATGATTCGCGCGGCGCCGGGGTGGCGACGTCGACTGCAATGACGACCACGACGAAAGACGACGGCGCAAGCGACGCAGACTGCGACGACGACGACGGCGACGACGACGACGGCGACGAAGACGAGTGCGAAGACAACGACGGCGGCGGCAACGGCACCGACTGCGGAAGCGACGTCGACTGCGAAGACGAAGACGGCGACAAAAACAAACGCGAAGACGACTGCTGTGGCGACACGGTGACGACGAAGACGAACACGACGGCGGCGCGACTACAACCACGGCGACGGCGGCGGCGGCGACGCGGCGGCGATGACGGACACGATGGCGGCTTCGGCGGCGAAAAAGACTCCGATCGGCGCCAGTGCAGGGCGGGGATTTATGCATGTCCATCACCTAGGGAACCGACGTCATGGGGCCCCAGCGGGCGTTGGGCGTGGAAGTATGTAGGCCCCAGGGAGGACGAATATATCCATATGCGCCGCCTACCAAGGTCCCCGAAGATCGATCCCCTAGGCTGGGCGGTGGTTATACATAAAACCCGCGCCTCGGAGCCAGGCGCGGCGGCGCTTCGGCCACAGTGGCGCGGGCTCTGGCTTGTGCAGACAACGCAGCTTCGCAAGACCGAGCCCGCATGAGGCCTGCTCACCTCGAGAGGTCTGCGCACCACCTGGCGTGAGGGGAGGGAATCATGGAGGAAACGAGCCCTGGGCTGAGCTGACCCGATACGCAACACGCAGCCCGCAGCGGGCTGACACGGAGCGCAACACGTAGACCGAGAGCGTAGGTCGGGCGCGATGCGTTGGCCAAACCGTGGGCCAAGACGTCCCGAGGCAGCACGCAACGTGATAGCACGGACGTTTTGAACACGGTGCGTGTTGCCTTTCAACACGGGCGTATCATGGCAACTGAGATGACGAGGGAATTGGGCCCTGGGCAATTCAGGACGACGATGAAAAAACACGGGGGGGCAACTGTTAAACACAAAGGCTTCTGTCACTGGGCGAGGTACTGGAGAGGTCGATCGACGAATACCAAGATGATGTACCTCGCCCCGACCTTCCACTCCAGAAGGCGTTCAGCCCTGAACGTCCGCGAAGGGCGACGCCGCCGCGTCGAGGCGTCGCACCCCTGCTGTATGCGGCATGCGTGTGCATGCATTGTACGCGGTCCAACGAGACAAGCATCGCCCCCACTCGAAGAACAAACTGCAATACATACACTTTCGGAGGACCGCTGGGTCCCCCTGGCATCCAAGAACTCCGCGCGGAACTTCGGAAACTCATGCATGTTTAGACCTTTTGTTTTTCATCGGACAAGGGGCTCGTGCTCAATGCCAAGCCACAGCTCGGGCATACATTGACATGGATTCGCGATCCGTGGAACTGGCGCGTGGGCGCCAGACCCATGCATCGGGAAGCTGCCCCCCGAAGCACGAAACCACAGCCGCCTGATCTGGCGACGGAGCGCGCCGATTCTGCAAATTAACAGGGCACGTCGCTAAGCCACGCATCGCCAAGCTATGCTTGCGCTTCGGACCGCTGGGCGCTTCCTCGGACAGCTGGGCCAGGGCGGCCAACAAATCGGCACCCTCCATCGGGGTCTAGACCACCGGCAGGCGCGCTCACCTCCTGCCTCCTGGAGAAGTGTGCCCCTGCCCGAGACGCAGATGCCGGCACGCGCACGCACACACACACACACACACGCACACCCTCTTGGCGTGCGCGCAGCAACGCACCGGAGTCAGGCAGAGGTAGAGCGGAGCCGCGCGGGCCCGCCAAGCGCACGCAACAAGGACATGCTGAGTCCGTCCACAGGGGACCACGCAGCATGACTCGCGGGGGAGCAGATGTTAGGGGGGACGAGAGGGCAACGACCAGGGTGTGAGGAAAGCGCAAGGGGTTCGTGGCGAGAGTCACTGGCGCACGCCAGGTGCGTTAAGGTGCAGTGGCAGACCCGCCAAAGGTCAGCAAGCGTGGTGCAATAGAGGGCTGGCCATAGGCGGCCGGGCGGCAGCACTAACACACACACATTGCCTCCTCCGACGCGGCAGTGAGGTCCAGCCAGCGGGCGGCAAACAGGAGGCAGCCCTAAAAAATGTGTGCTTCCTTGTAGAGCGGCGTGGCAAGCCTGAGACCCCGGGCAAACGCACGCACATAGGCGGCACCGCAGGAAAGCCGCGCGAAAGCGGGAGGACAGAGAAGGGGAACACGTACGCACACTGTTTGGCGTCGCGGCCACGCGCGCAGCTGCGCAGCGGAGGCGGGCCAGAGCTGGGGAGGGAGCGGGGGCGCAGGCCAGCTCAGAGGCAGCAGGAGCATGCCAGATACACCCATCATCACTCAGCGGCGAGCGAGGTGGGGAAGCGAGAAGGGGAAGGCCCTCGTAAAGGCGGCGGGACTTCTCAGAAGCCCTCGTGCCTGGTGAGAAGTTGCCTGCGTGTTCGGGGAAGGCTCAGCAAAAACTTCTCAGAAGGCCGGGTGACTTCCGAGCCTTCTGAGAAGGCCCGCCCCTTCTCACTTCCCCCCAAGGCTCGCAGCCGAGGCAAGGGCATGCCAGATGCACCCATCACGCGCACACGCAGACGCACCGTGTGATCTCACCGTGGGGAGGGGGGCGGGGAGCGCAGAAAGCGCCACCGCGCTGCGCACCGCCGTCGGCGGGGCCAGCCGAGGCCCAGACAGACCGGCCGAATACCGCCCGCGCCTTCCGACTCGGCCTCGGACTCGGCCTCCTCCGCCTCCTCGCTCGCGCAGAATGCGGCGTGGTCCTGAGGTCGGGGGTTACTAGAGGTACCCCTGGCCCAAGGTGCCCCCAGCTGTTCGCTCAATCTTGGAGCCCTTGGGGCCCTCTGGGCCTCGTGAGGGGTGCTCTGGAGACCGTGAGGGCCTCCTTGGGAATCCTGGGGGCACCTTGGGCTGGGGGCACTTCCAGCAACACCCGATGGGGGGGACGACGGGAGGGGACTACCTCAGGCTGGGAGAAAATCGACCCTGAATCGGCGATAGTTCGCCGACGGATCGGCGATGCGCCCCCGATATCGAATCCGCACGCTCCTGGGCGGGGTGGGACATCAGGCCACTATCGGCGATGAATGGGCGCTTGAGGGTCGCTGCGTTCCTCCCCGAGCCTATCCCCCCTAACGTTGCTCTTGAGGTCCCCCGCGCACGCCAGGACGCTGCCCATCCCGGCGGCGCCGGGCCGCGGCCCCAATGGCGGAGGAGGCCGGCAACCCTCAAAGGCCAACAAAAAACTTGCGGGATCAGCAGTTGAGCGGCATGGCCGGAGAGCGGCGATGCTGACAGAGGCCGTGGGAGGCGGAGGCGAAAGCGATCAGTCGTCCCGGGGGAAGGCCCCACGAGAGTCCAGCGATGGCGCCGGAGCGCCGAGAAGCGACTATGCAATCATGCCTGCTGCTAACCAATCTCAACCAATCATCTGTGGGTCTGTGAAACTTCTATGTGTGCAGCGGAGAAGGAAGGCGAAGGACGGCGACAACGACGCCAAGATAAGATGGGGAGAGGCCGTGGGAAAGCAAGGCGCCGTGGTGCCCTGGAAGACGGTGTGTTCGTGGTGTGCACTGCAGTGCTGAGCAAGGGGAAGGGGGAGGAAAACAAGGCGGCAGCAAGGAAACATGGCGACCCCCCCATACAGCGGGTGCAGCCGCCGGATCTCGTCCACGCGCCTCTCGGTTCCGTCGGCCTGGGCCCCCTCCCGGCCGCAGGTCCGAAGCCACTCCCCCCCCGCACCGCCCGGCGCCCCCCCCCCCCTGGCCCAGCAGCACGGGGCCACAGATGGGGGCGTTTTTCCTCCTCCTCCTCCTCCTCCTCCTCTTCCTCCTCCTCTTCCTCCTCCTTCTTTTTCCTCCTCATCCGCCTCCTCCTCCTCCTCCTCCTCCTCCTCCTCGTCCTCCTCCTCCTCCTCCTCCTCCTCCTCCTCCTCCTCCTCCTCTTCCTCCTCTACATCCGCCTCAATCGTTGGAATTGCCTGCTGGTGATCCGCCACCGTGTCTCTGGGCACGGAATGGGCGTGTCTTCAGGTCCTCTCACTAGCCCTCTAAGCCTTAGTCGTGACTCCTGAGCAGATCTGAAAATGGGTCGGAGCCCTTCGGCCCAAATCTCTTGGGGGTTGTCGCGGTTCCCCTGGGACTTGCCAACAGGGCCCCAAGACGGGCCAAGAGAGGCCCAGGAGGCTCCTAAGACGGTCCAAGAGGGCCCCGCGTCACCGAACGATCGCTCCAAGACGCTCAAGATGGCCTCCTGACGGCCCAAGGGGCTTCCAAGACGCTCCAACAGGGCTCGCAGAGGCCCCAGAAGCCAAAATCATTGAGTTGCCATCGGTTTTTGAAACATTGCAGCGTTCTCGCCGTTTCGACGCTCCCAGATGGTCCTAGAGGCCCGCGAAGCCGCCCCAAGAGGCCTCCAAGAGAGTCCCAAAACACCCCCAAAGGACCCCAAGACGGCCCAATAGGCGCCGCAAATGAATGACCCAAGAGGGCCCAAAGGCGGCCCCCAACGGGGCCCAAACGAGGGAGCACGAACCGAAAATCCGAGCTTTCCGCCCCGAAAGGCCCCGGGAACCCAGGAGGCGTCCAGAAGGCGCCCAGAGGCCCCCAAGAGGCCCCAAGGTGCTCCCAAGAAGCCCCCACTAGTCCCCCAAAGGCCCCCAAAATGCCCAAAAGAGGCCCCAAGAGGCCAAAACGACCACCATGAGGCATCCAAACTGCCTCCGAGATTCCTCTGGAAGGCCTCCCGCGAGATCTCAACGAACATCCAATAATTAGGCTTCATGTCCACAGCCCATGCACGGTGGCGGGATGGACCGAAGGTTATTAAATCCTCCGCCTCCTGTTGATTCATCACAAGGGTGCCTGGCGTGCTAGATCCTGCCGCTTCTGGTTCAGGTTGTTTGTTCCAAAACTCCCCCTGGGGCTTCGGCCCGTCCTGCCGGCCACCTGGAAGGGAACCCAGAATCCGGCTGTCAATGCCTCTCCCGCTCCAAGATGGCCTCCAAGACGGCTCAGATGGCCCCACCCCGCGGGGTCACGTTCGGCGCTTTCAGGGGCGCGCAAACATGGATTAATTAGCGATCCATGGATTTGGCGCGCGGTCGCCCAATCCATGGATCGGGGGGCGTGCCCTCCCCAAAATGCGGCCGGCGCCGCCTCGCTCAGCGGCGTAAATCCGCAACTTTCGCATGGAAGCGGGATCCGTCGCTAATCCACGCCCCCTTGATCCATGTTTGCAATCGCCTGAAGTTTGTCGATCAAACCCACGACCCAAACCCACGCCAATCCCCCAGGGCTTTGGGCATGAAATTCAAACTTGTCCTGCGGATCTCCGGGGCCAAGCAAGAATCGTCGAGCGGCCCGCGCGCCCCCAGGCACCCCTCGCGCGCGCGAGAGCGGCCCGGCGGGCAGGGCCCCGGCTCGCGCCCAGAGGCGCGGCGGCTCCAATGGAAGCATAGCTGCGTGTCGTCCGCGCGGAGGCGCCAGCCGTCCTCCCGCCGCTCGAGGCTCGCTGGGACCTGTTTTTTGTTGCCCCTGTTGCTGACCGTCGTCGGCGCTGGCTCCGGGGAGAAGCGCCCCCAGTTTCCGGCTTGCCGCCGCCGGCTCCGCCGAGGGGCGCCGAGGCCGCGGGCGCCTCCGACGCGTGAGCATGAAGCCCCGCGTCGGACAGAGCGCTTTCGCCGATGACTGCCTCGCCCCCGGACGAAGCTACCCTGGCGGGTGGAGTCGCTGCGCCGGCGAACGGGCCCCGCCCCATCGGGCCTCACCTCGTCGCCCGCGCGGGAGATGATGCCCCGATGGTTCGGAAAAGCCACGTTGAGGAGACGCATCACTCCTCGCTCTCGCCCAGCGGCGCGCGCCCCCTCCTCGCGCTCACCCAGGGTGAGCGCGCCTGACTCATGAGCGCGGCAGCAGGAAACGCCCTCCAACACAACCTTCGCGCGTCGAAGGAAGGCGGACCCGCGCCGCGAGACGAGCTCGCCCCCCGCGAACACCTGCGCCGCGAAGGGGAGCAGCCTCTCCGCTGCTTTCCGCACGCCACCCAGACCGCCAGGCCAGCGCAGGGCGCGAATCCCCCCAGCACCATCGCGCGCGCGGAGAGCTGCTTGTTGGCGGCGCCCCCGTGCTCCCTGCGAGGCCCACCGTGCGCCTCTTCGAATGCGGCCGCGAGCTGGCTGGGTTCCGGGAGCATCTCCGAGCGCTTGAGCTTCCGCGCTCTGCTCCGCGCGCTGCTTTTCGCCGCAGCCGCAGGGCCCGCGGCCCCCCCGGGCAGGCGCCGCGCTGCTCCCCGCGGGCCCGCCGCCAAGGATCCCGACGCCAGGCGGCGCCGCGCCCTCGACCTCGGCGACCCCCTCGAAACATCGAATCAACGTCGAGTCTACAGGCCTGCGCGAGGAGTGCCATCGAGCGCGCGAGCACGAAAGGTTTCGCGCAAATCCGTTTCGCGCAGGCCTAGATCCCCGAGCTGCTCCACCGCCGCTGGGTTCCCGCCCGCGGCGGCAAGCGCCATCGCCCGCAGCGGCCCGTCGGCTCCAAGGCCGGCGGCCGCGGGTCGGGCCGCTGGAGCAGGAGGCGCGCGCCCCCGCGCAATGCCATTCAGTCATCCCCGAAACGGGCCATCGGGCGCCCCCCCGCATCGGCCGATGAATGGAGGGAGAAAAATGATGGCGCCTTGTGCCCCGCAGGACCCTCGGGGCAAAAAGGCCGCGGCGCCGTCGGCCAACCGCGCCGCGCACTCCCGCCTGCGAGCGCGCGCGCCCCCCCGCGAAAGCCACGACAGAGCCCCCGCAGCACCTGCCACATTCGTGCGCGAAGGTCACCTTGCGCGGGCGGCAGGGCGCCATGCTGCGCGCGTGGAGCCCTGCGCCCACGCCCCCATCGAAGCGCCCGCGTCGCGCCGACCCCTGCGCCCCTGCCGGGAGCCCCCTCGGCGGGCCATGAGCGGTTCTGCGACGAGGCTCTGGCCAGGCACGAGTCGCTGCAACGGGCCGCTAAACTGCCGACGTGGCCAGCGCCTTCGCGGCCGCCCCAACTCTGCGACGGCCCCGTGCGCGGTCCGCTTCCGCATGGGCCCCGTTTGGCGGCACGGGGGTTCTTGCGTGGTTTTCTACGCTGGGCCCGCGACAGGCTGCGCACGCAACAGTCAAAACGCGCTGCGTGTTTTAGCGTTCTGGGCAATTTGTTGATCGCGTTGCCCAAGCCCCTCGCTGTGCACAATATTGTGATGGATTGCGCTGTCGCGTCGAAAACTGCGCCTTGCCCCCCCCCCCCCCCCCCGCCGTCTTCGCCCCCGCCCCCCCTGGTTTCGTCGTGACATCCATATGCGGGGCGGGGGCCGAACGTGGCGCCCGTGCGTGGAGCTGAAAGATGCGAGGTCAAACCGCGCGATAAGGACGCGCGATGAGGACGCCAGGTGCTGGGGGGGCCACGTCGACGCCTTGCGCGCAGGGCGCGGCCAGGGATGGGCCGAAGGGGAAGGATGCGATGCTTTTCATGCCGCGGAGGCTGCGCAATGGGTTCGCATCATGCTCATCTCATGCATCGCGCTAGATACAAACTGGACCTACCCGACAATCGGGACCCATGTCTCTCCCCGCCCTACTACTCCGCTTAGCTGCATACGCTGCGGGAGGATTGCACGAGCTTCTCCTGGGTCATTGGCTTCGTCAGCACTTCTGATTCGCTGTCGTCCGCGTGGATCTCTTCGAACTCCAGGCGCTTCTGTTCGCGCCGCTGCTGCAAAGCCAAGAGCCTGATCTCGGCGTGTTTCATCTTACCTGGTCCTCCCTTCTTCACGATATGCAATGCGCTGCTGCTGACGCTTGCCGGGACAGGCGTCGCGTTCTCGTGCCACTCGCTCATCATCGATGCCAGTCCGAGCGCCGAATCCCAATGCGCACAGCTTTGTTGACGCTAGCTCGAGGCCGCGCCACTCTGACGCCGTGCCCGCGACAGCACAGTGCACCTGTAGTACTTCAGTGCGCCACCGCTGACTGAGATCCCATCGTCTGTGTCGTCTGCCCAGTCTGGGTCCGCACGGTACTGTACGCTCTGCTTGGTATGTTTGTCTGTTTCCAGTATCAACTCCACGTTCTGGGCCCCTGCCAGGTGCCTTGCCATCTTCTTCAACCTGCGCTGATCTCTCGCGCCGCCATGCCGCGGCATTGCGCTCCAACTCCGTGTTTCATGTGAGCCCTGTGGCATGACGGTTGCAATAACTTCCCCACTCGCATCCTGCGCGCGCCGTTGCTTGCTGGGCTCGGAAACTCGTCGGCGTTCTTCTGCTCAGCCTCGCTCTGCGCCTCCAGGACGACTGGGGGCTTCGCTGTCTGCAACCCGAGCTCCAGGGTAACGTCCTCGATCAGCGACGTCTTAGCCTTGATGGTACAGCCGCCCTCGATCTTGCGGACCTGCATGCTCAAGAAGGTGCCCTCGACGCCCGCGTTGCACAGAGTAGCCTCGTCTGAGAGCCCGAACTTGTCGCCCATTTCCGCCAAGTGTTGGTCTGCTGACTCCTGGGGCACTGCCACGAGGAAATCATCGGCGCGTCGTCCTGCGTTGACCTTGTCGTGAACCCTCATGCAGACGCAGCCGTCGTAGCGCCCTCGATCAAGACTCATCTGCTTCATCGTCACTGCGCCGTGATTTTCCCAAGCCTTGGGTGCCCTCTTGAATCCTGGGAACGCATGCGGCGCTTCCGGCGGGTAGTATGCTGCTGTTTCGGGCGGCGGTTCCAAGAAGATCCTTTCCTCCGCCAGGGGCGCCTGGATGAATGCCCCACTGCAATCGCCGAGTGCCACCACGTGGCCGTTCACTTCCGCGTTGACCAACATCGTCTTCAGGTGTGGTTGTGGCGGACTGGTGAGCGTACTGGTCGAACCCCCCTACGTGGTTGATTTACCCTTGTTGCTGCCGTCGGCCCACTTGCCTGTCAAGATCTTGGAGGTCGTCTCGACGATCGGAACCTGTTTCGCGATCTGCTTGCCGTCGCCCGCGATTTTCTCGAGGTGGTCCACCCTCTCCCTGTAGAAATCGCCTCAATTCGCATGGACCTCGTCGTCCTCCACGGCCGGCTCCTCGCACGGATCGCTGACCGAGCAAATCTTAGCGATCCGTGACTTGCTCCTGGCCTGGCCACCTCCGTCGTCTCCGTCTCGCTCCTGTTCGGGAGCCGCTACCCGGGCTGCTGGTGCTGCCCTTGCCACCGCCTGAGCTGGTGGTACCGAGCTGCTCACCGCTGCCGCCCTCGCTGGGCTGTGCCTCGCCGAGAGCGTTCCAGGAGAGCCCAGATTGTCCTGCTGAGTTGTTGGCGTGGGATCCACGTCCATTGGTGACCTATGCCTGCAGCGCTGAGCTTGCAGTCTGGCTCCATCGACACTCGTGTCGCCGCCGAATGGCCGAATGATGCGGAGCCTCCTGGTGGTGCTGCTGCTGCTGCTGCTGCGGGTCTGGGAGCGTGTGTTCCTCCTGCTGTGGTTCCTCCTCGTGGTGGGGTTCCTCCACAAGGCGGGGTTTCTCCGGTGAGGCCAGCGCCGCTGGGGGCGTTAGCTGAAGATGGTCTCGGCCAGCTCCACTACCATGATGCTTGTCGTGCCGAAGAGGCTGCGCAGAGGGTGCGGATCAAGCCCATGCCATGCAACAGACTGGAAGCAAGCTGGACCTACCGATGGTAGGGGAGCCATGTCTCTCCCTACCATGGTGCTCCGCTGCCTATGATCCTCCATATCATGCACGCTCGGTTCTACTCTTACCGTCAACAGGATGCAAGGGCAACCTTGGAAACCGCTCATCCTTACCATGCGGGCTGACAGTAACATCCATAGATGGGTCGGGGGCTGAAAGTGGCTCCCGTGCGAGCTGAAAGCGATTAAACAACGCTCTGACACAGGTGCGACACGGGCCTGGGAACCCACGGCCCGTCCGCGGCGGACTCCGACGACGGAAAACGACGGGCCTGAACCACAAAAACAACCAATAGTTGTTTAGCGTTTTCAGGGTTTTGGCTGGGACCTGAAAGATCTAAAACAAAGATGTCCAACACGCCGCGTTGAAAACTGTACAAAAACCTCGGGCATATTCAAGATGAGCGAAGCCTTTCGGGTATCGTTTTGGCTCAGGCGGCATTTCTTGAGGCGTTAATCCTGTTCCCCTTTCCCCCCCCTCGTCATCCCATCTTGATCACTTCCTCCCTTCCGCCCTCCCCTTCCCCAGCCCCCATTCGCCTTCTCCGCCTCCCTCTCCTCTTCCTCCTCCTCCTCCTCCTCCTCCTCCTCCTCCTCCCCTCCCCCTCCTCCCCCTCCTCCTCCTCCTCCTCCTCCTCCCTTTCCTCGCCCTGCCGTCCTCCTCACCCCACCCCCGCGTTGCATCTCCCCCTTGTGGCTGACTCTCATGTGGCCCCTCCCCCCCCCCTCCTTGCGACGCTCCAGAGCGGAAAGTCTGAAGACCAAACACAACAAGGACCCGGCCGCGGACAGACGGGCACAAGAGAGAGAGAGAGAGAAAGAGAGAGAGAGAGACGAGATGGGTCCCCGTCCTCTCCCTCCCCCCTCCTCCAGCACCCTCCTTCAGCCCGCCCACGTCCACCCAGCCAAAGACCCATCACAACCACCACGCAGGCCCGCAGACCGCTCTGGCTGCCCGACTGCTGGAGGGACGCCCAGACGACTCCCTGAGGCTACAGGCGAAAGGCTCAGCATACGCCAGAGCACCCCGCATCCCCCTTGTTCTAGCATCCTTCCTCTTCCTCCTCCCCCTCCCCCTGACACTCTCGCCATCGTGCTAGCCCCGTCCTCGCTTCGCTCCTGCCAGCGTCTTCCTCGATTCCCTCGTTCCTCCTGATCCTGATCCTTGTTAATGTTGGCCCTGCTGCAGAAAGTCCGTCATCATGTTGGACACAAGACACTGTGCTACGCGTGGCAGTCCCTTTCACGGGGTACCGTCGGAGCGCTGACCTAAGGAACCCTAAATAAGGAACGTGGCTCCTTGTTGTTCCATACGTGAAACTTCGATTTCCCATGGAAAGCATCAGGAAACCCTAAGGTGAACTGTAAACCAACTGAGGAACACTGAGCCCCTCTCAAACGTAAAGGGTTCCTTCTTCAGCGCCCCGACTGTACACCAGGACTGCTTCCTTCTCCTCGTCACCCTCCTGCCCTCCTCATACGTAATGAGCGTTTGCTTAGTCGGCGTTTCGACATTGGGCGGAAGGGGGGGGACGGGAGGGTCTGGCTCCGGACCTCTGCTTAACGCGACTGTTTGCAACAGTGCGTCCTATGGGGGAGACCCCACCTGCTTGAAACAGGAGCCAAGAACAGCCAAAACCTACTCCATGCGGGGGGGTGAGGAGGGGTACGTGGGCCCGCGCCGATCGGCAAAACAAGAAATAAGAAAACGACAAACTCCTTGGTTTCCTCGTCCCGTCTTCCCGTCCACCCTTCCATGAGGACGGTGCTGTCGCCAGCGATGCCTCCGCCCACCTTCTAGTGGCGACTCTCAGAGCCCGGCCACCCA